TGTAAAATGCAAACTTTCCAGAATCTCGGAAAGTACACGAAACATTGTGAATGATAAAATGAAACTTGACATATATCACGAAGCATCAAATGATAGTAGACAGCGCTAACTAGATGAACAATCAGTTTTTTTCAAAATGTTATTGAAAGATTTAAAAAAAAAAAAAAAAAATGAACTGCAGTATAGATATCAGTGAGAAATTTAAAAAATCTCTGAAAAAAAAAGAAAAAAAAACGAACTGCAGCATCATAATCAGTGAGAAATATAAATTTCGCTGTTGGATGGACGCTGAGTGCCAGTTTACCTAACTGATCTAATGGTTCAAATAATAAGCGGGCAATACAGTGCCAATTTTCAGTATCATAAAGTTGGATGCGTTTACCATTTTCCGTTGAAATTATAGCATATTTCCAAAACTGTTCACTGAAGTCAAATGAAATTTTGACAATTAAAATCCACAGCGTTAACGATTAAATGGTATGACTACAGCACTGTTTGTAGCAATAACAAGAATATTATGAACAAATTTGAAAAAGTACTATAGTTACATAACGAAAACTCAATGAATCTAATAAGTTTAGCGACACTTTTACCACTCTTAGGTCAACTAACGTAAGTCAAATGAAAAAAAAATGTACGGTGTATCCGATGCAGTGATGTTATCCAGGAAGACGAGATCCTGAATATGTCTACCGTGTTCGGGTTGCCAGCGATGAGCAAATTTCGTACCTTCACCATCAATAATGAAAAATGTCACAGTGCCACAATTAAGCGCTACTGCGATAGCTGTTGCATCTGGACTCAAACAGACTGCTTGTACCTCCTGAATTACACAGATCATCTGAGGCTGCGAACAATAGTACTGTTGAAATGATAAGTGATTGACAGTCCCAAATATTAATTATCCTCAATTATCCTCTACAGAGGAATAATTAACTATACAAAGAATTCATGGTGTAAAGGAATAAACAGAAAACTAACTGCGCTTGGATTTTCAATCGGTAGCTTCATCATGGCATCACTGATTTTCTCGCATTGTTCCAGAGTCACTTCTTCACATTGTAATTCTGATTTGATTACGCTTAATGAAAATGATTCCACTATATTGCGCTGCAAAATATTTCTTGCAAGCGGATAGCAAAGATTCGATCCAGGAATTCCTCGAGTGAAAGAAAAACAAATGCAAACTATGAATACAAGCTCAACTGCCAAATTAGGCTCATTTATTACTCTTACAATTTTTGAGTTGCGAATATGACACAACCGAATGAGATAACTTTATCATAAATTTTAGTGATCCCCCCAATCATATGGATGATTCATGGTTTTTGCACTAATTCTCACAGAGCGCTTACGAAAGAAATTCACAAGGTCAGCCGTCAAACCGCTTAATTCATCATTGTTAAACTATTGGCAAACTTATTTCACGCTAAAAGAATTGAGTGAAATTAAAAAATTACGTAATAGACAGCGATCATATGCATCTCTTCGTGTGGCTCATCAGCATCCGGTATATACGGACACCATGAAATTCTGGGAATAGCACTGATTGGGAGAGAGTTATCTTCTCGGATTATATTTAAATATTTTGTTCTGAAAGCCGTTTCTTCTCGTATTGAAACATTTAGAAAAAACCTTCACAGAAATTACATTGAACATTGCTGCAAGCATTAACAATCATAGCTTCATGAATCGTAGACGGAATAAGAGAATAAAATGTTAAAATTTTTCCGAATTTTTCCTGCATTTTCCAAATACTTACACGACACAATCCTTGTCAACATGGTATGCATAAAGATTAGCATTAATATCAATAACGGCAAGTAGTGGTGCATGATGGGCCCACTGTAAATCGGCAGTTGGATGCTTGAAGCTCTGTAAAAAGCTAAATGATTCAGCTGAAAATAGCTAAAAGTATTAACTGCAACCGCTTTTCAGACAATTAATATTTGATGGAGAGTGATCTACTTCGTTCTGTTGTTGCTCTTAAATCCCATTAAGCATATTAATAAGTTGCAGCGCTCCCTGCTGGTAATCATAAAATCCTTATTTTTGTATTAAACACTCTTTTGACGGAATTCTGTTTTGTATGTAACCAATTGTAAGATGTGAATCAAAGAAATAAGTTGAACGAGTATTCCAAAATTCCAATGTCAAACCATGCATTCTAATATGAGGGATTAGGAAAACCATACCAAATATGTAAACTTCCTTAATAATTGTAATAAGATAATTCTATGAAATAGTTTTTCCCAGATTTAATAACATAATTTCGCTTTTTGTTTCATTTCCCGAATCGTTTTCAACACTTTTCTATTACTTTTCTTGGCCGAGTCGAAAAGCTTATTAAGTAAAAAAATTTTGTGTTCTTTTCCTTCTCACTGAATAACCAAAAGATTTAAATATACTACTTTTATAAGATGACGTTTGGAAGTGGTACGTTCAAGGACTCGAACTGCTTCGCCTGTATTTTCATTAAATAGTCGATAAGCAATCAAATTTTTATGAACTGCCAGTATTCGACCATTGTAACATTCTTCACTTGCCCATTTATATTCGCTAAGAACGCGGGTATAAACACGTGACGAGTCACGGTCACGTGGTCGCTTAACTGCTTGTCCGTCCACGTTCAATACAATATGTGTACCGCCAGAAAACTGAACAACTGCATCGGACCCAGTCAGTACACTTCAAATTTAAATTTCATTGATACTACTGCATTACTGTGAGAAATTAATCTGTTACTTATCATAGCAGATGTGATTAGTAGAAGTAACAAATAAATTCTGATGAAAAGTTCTCTTATTTTTGCTAAATAATTTCGGTCAATATTGATAATTATTTATTGAGACAAACACTAGGAAAATATCTAAAAGAGAATGGCAAAACACATTTGATATGCTACTCAGGAAATCCTTTTAATTAAAAAACTATTCGATCGATCACCGAAGCTAAAACCCCGCTATATTCTGGTTTAGATGAATATATAGCAAGTAAATATACAAATATACAAATAAACATACTGCTTTTCGAGTACAGATGATGGTGGTGAAACATCGTTAAAATGAGATGACAATAATTGCTTGCCGGTCATCGAACAATTTAATTTTTGAATTTTCGACGACTCCAGTAATCAAAATTGAGCAAAAAAAAGATATTTTTTGCTTAAAAAGAAAAGTTAAATTAGTAAAAAAATTGAATTTCGCATTCAAGTCGGGATTGAAATAAATATTTTATGAATAACCATTATTGTCGTAAATGTTTAAAATGAAATGATCGTACGAGAAATGAAACGAAGTAACAAGGAACAAACATTTGTTACAGTTAAAGGCTTGGCCAAAAACGAATTTTCAGAACTTGCATTACAGCCTAGGCCATAATGCATTTAACATTACCGCAAGCACATATGCGCCCGCCCTTCTCCATAACAACCACCACAACTCTCAGCAGATGGAGAAAAAAAAAAAAAAAAACGCCTGTTCGCTTCGTCCATCTCGGAAACACGAATTCGAGCCAATTTAAATATATCAGTGACAAGTAATCGCTTTGATAATTCACCGAATGTTTGCAGCTTAATTTTCCGCTTACTTCCCGTCAAATAATTTCAATTTAATTACATATATCTCACATAAATATTATGAGTTAGCGCGTATTACATGAATGCTAAATTGTTAGAATAGAACTTTACAAATGTGATTTACCATAAATCTTGTTACTTCACGATATGCACGTCGCAAATGTTAACCTGATAACGTTCATGTGAAATCTATCGTATATGTATTATTGATGATATTGATAAACGTATTGGAGATATACGTAAAATTAAGCGGAATTCGGAATTGTTTACCTCATTGATGGAATCATTATTGCACCGCTCAAGAATACAACTCCCAAAAGTGACAAATTGATAACTTCAATGGAAAAGGAACCATTCACGGAACTATGAAGTATACATTTTTTTCTTCCACTGAAATTGATATTTTACATGAAAACAAACATATGATATTACATATTGAAAGTTGTATATGGTATGACAACATGTAAGTAATAGACGAAACGATTAAATCCCTCTCCTTTTCTCCGTACATCTTCATCTTGCCAAAAAGTATTGCAGGATGTTTTGTCTTAAATTAGAAATCTCATTCGGATTAATGATAATTTACAAGAGAAAAAAAAACAGAATAAATGGAATAAATCCAATCAATAATCCGTCCAATTATTGCATTCCCTCTTTTTTCTCTTTATTGGAATATCCATTGATGAATATTTTCTGTAGTATAATGCGGACTGCATAAATCAATTTAAGCGGAAGAAAGACTTCAACAAAGAGAAAATTTTTTTTTCTTTTCTTTTTTTGGTTCAAATAAGCAATTTCGAAGAAAAAGAGTTTCCCAGGAAATTGAAATTCAAAATGGATAAAGATGAATAATTGCGATACTGTAAGACAATCCTTAGATTTTTTAACCTAATTTTAATTACGAAAAGAAGAAACCAAGGTCAAAATTGAAAACGGTGAATAAAATCAAAAATTTCAGCTGAAATGAAACTTCAACTGGAAAGTTTAACTTAAAGTTGAATTCATAAATTTCAAATGATTTAAACTTCAAACCGATTCACCAAATTGCATTCAAATTCAATTATTTGCATCGTTATTTTTTGGGAAGATTTTGAAACATTGGGCGAATGATGAGGTTATATCATTTGAAAATTTATTTTAAAAAAGAAAAGTTTGTCAAAAGCTCGAAACTTAGGTAATTTGATTAGATAATAATCATCTACTGATGATTTCACACGTTTCAGTTCTTGTTAGTCAGCAGACATCGGAAGTACTAATGAATCAATTCATTGTTAAACAGTGATAAAGGTTACACAAAGTTTCGTTGATAATCAAGAAATATCAAGTATGCCATTTGAAATTTCTCAGAAGAAATAGCTGCTCAAATTTTGTAGATTTAATTTTGTATATAAATCAAATCATCTTTTTTCTATAAGTGGTATTCTTAGCTTCTGAACATCCTTGGTACCCGAGAATCATACAATCGTACAACATCGCTCTGTGATACAGCTGGTCCTTCATCTTGAGAGAATGAATAGCCACCTAGAAAAAAGAAAAAGCTTTTCAATGTAATTCTTTGGGTAGGAAATTAATAATCTCCAATTTCCCACTGCATAAAGTTACTTCGCCTATTTTGATATCAATTTTCCCAAATACAATAGTGAATTAACAGAGAAAAAACAAATAACGGTTTAATGATATCTACAGTATAAAGCATAATCCAAATTTTTTTAGAAATGCACATTTAAATTTTTGATGGAATATTGTTACGAAATGAAAACTAAAATTAGAAATTTTATGATAGTTGAGAATGATAAGTATTCGACTGAAAAGGAACTAAATACCCAAATATAAGGTTTGTGAATCGAAATGGTAAATTTAAAAAATCTACTACGAAAAACCAACAAATGCCCTCTCTTATTTTCCAAACTTTAATCAAAACAACTAACGTTGTTTAGTTTGCATATTTACAAGGCTAAGAGCTGATTCGGATGCTTTGGAAAAAATTTCTTTCACTTTAACAAGCGGATAATAAAGATCATCAAATTGCTTCACATCAAATTCTTGTGAAACAACTTCATCACGAATAGTTCGATACAATGATCGTTGCAATCTGCAAGAAATACTGAATATTTATCTGTCTGCTTTTTTAATATATTTATCTGTCTGCTTTTTCAATCATTCAGTTATATCATTCTCGTTGCATAATTCGTTTTCATAATTTTATTAGGCGGAAAAAAAATTACTACCCTACAAAAATGAAGTTTAATATAAAACATCCCTGATATATTTGTATGATATTAGAGAAATCAAACTCAGAAATCAAATTGTTGATTCCTTCTTATGAGAATCAAATTCATTCATTTCTTTGTTTTTTGTAAACTGTTTGCTTGTTAGTTCATATGTGTTATTATCAAAATTTTTTGGAGCAAAAAAACATTGTCACTAAATGTGTCGTTTAATTTGTCATTATTATGACACATAACAAATGTGACTTATTTATTTTTGGAAGCTTCAATAACAAAAGCTTGATTTTTCAACAGATGTATAGCTTTGAAAACAAGAACTGAGAATTAGTTCGGCCTAAGGGACTAAGTAAATAAAAAAGGCTTGCCAAGTTTGTATGCATGAATGGATGAAAAGCTTCAATGTTGATAGTTAAAATTTGAAATTATTTTAGTGTACGAGGAATATCATATTTTTGGAAACGTACAATTTAATCAGCAGATCGAATGACAGAGATACCAATACGACAAATATGACATATGCAAGGGCAGTAGGTGAACTCAACACATGAAGTATTGTATCGGCCATACCTGGTTGAACTTTGATAATTGGACTAGCAGGTGATGTTAAACAGTACGAAAAAAGGAATATAAATAGCATAATGATGGAACCGAATAGTGCTATCCAGGACATCTGAAAATAATCAAAAATGAGCCAAGCAAAATTGATACTTTAAAATTCAACATAGTGAATTTTCGTCATTTTTTCCATTGTTTTTATTCAAAATTTAAAAGTGGGCGAATACAATTAAAAAAAGAAGGAAATTTGTGTAAAAGCAACTGATCGATTTTTAGATTCCAAGTAAAAATAATAAAATTTTTTTTCGAAAATAATCTAAATTAAATAAAATATTTAAAAAAATCAAAGTTTACGATGGTGATAGAGTCGGTTTCCATAACAGCCTTTAAATTGACAACAATTACAATTGCCTAAAAGTTCCTTTTTGTGATTATCGTTAATTACTGTTTATAATCTCTAACATTCGATAATAAAAGTAATTTATTAAAAATTTATGAAGCGAAAAACCTCTGTTGTTTAATTTAAATCAATTAAGTATAATAAAATTTAATTTTTGCACTAGTGAACTAAATTCTAGTGACAAAATGAAAAAGGATTGATTAATAATTTGAAGTTATTGAATTATTTATTTCGTTAAAAATAAATTTTTTCCAAAATTACAATGTTAATAACAGTTCCCATGACGTAATAATTGGCCACACGACCAGTATACCACAGGACATCTATAACAAATTCTGATTTATTCAAGATATTGTCATAATTTGAGCACGTTATGCAAATACATGTCACTAGTTGTAATTAAAATAGATCTTGAAATAATCGTGTAGATAAAAAGTACCGGAATGAATTATAAAAGCTTTAATGGTTCTTACCGTTTTTAAATGTTCGATAAGCAATCGTAGAAATTACCATAGCATGCACCAAACCAGTGAACATCCATGTAAAATAAGTCTAAAATGAATACTGAACACATGTAGTTTCAAATAAAACTTTTAAATAATTAAATTAGCAAAAAATCTGACATACTTGTCCAAGTGAGCATACGACTTCTGATTTTATAGTGGAATTGAAAAATGTTAATGAGAGTAAATCATGAAAACTAAAATTTCGAAAAAGATTTTTCGAGAAAAAAGGAGCTGAAATTTTGAACAAGAAAATTATACCTTCAGCGAGAATGTTTCGCTACTTTGTGATAAATAATAAAGCGCTGGATAATCGATCATCACCTCAAATGGAAGTAATCTATCCCAAATACCAATGGCCAAGGGTGGCCAGCTAGTGAAAAATATATTAAACATTACCATCGACCAACTATCCATTATTGCCGAATCGGCAAACAATGTATGGAATTCATAAAGAAACTGCAAAATTTTAATAATTTAATTATCTCCAAAAATTACTATATTATTTGGTTCGTAAGGACGATTAGATTGCAAACTGTTGTATTTAGATTGAAAAGCATACCATAGTTAGAGTTTGAACGATATTTTTGTAAAAAAAATACAAAATAACTTTTGTAATACGATGATAACTGATAGCTCCATGAACAAATATAAGACGTTCCAAAAATCGAAACTAAAAATGCAAATATAGTTTAGAACAAAAAATTCATTGTAATTTTAAGCCAAAATTCGCTACAATATTTTAGTTTTAACCTAAAACTTGCTTCCAATATCTAGAATGTTGCCAGAATTGTTGGACATGTTTAGACCAGTGATAAATTAATTTCAAGCGACAATTTAATTTACCAATAATAATTTGATTTCAAAAGTGATAAAATAATTTTTTCTTTTTTCGAACTATTTTAATGCTTGTATATGAAGTTTTTCATTTCTGAAATACTATTATACGCTATCGAAATTAATGGGTGATTAGGATGGGTAATCATGATAGAGAAATAATCATGATAAGAAGTAAACGATGATAGAGAAATAGTCATGATAAGAAGTAAACGATAAACTTGTGCAATGGAATAATCAGCTGCAAGTGATGCTTGCAAACCTTCTTCACCGCTTATTCCAATACCAATATCAGCTGCCTGCAGAACTACTCAAATCAGATGGAAAAGATTAAGCCTAAAACTTGTGAACGTTGTGAATTTCGGGCTTGCTTACGAATTATTAACTTTTATTGATTAATTTCTAGAATTTCATGAATCTACTTTTATATACCGTTACTTGATCTTTTCATTCTTACCTGTATCATTGCAATATCATTGGCACCATCACCAATTGCAAGTACGGTACCATCAGACCAATTTTTGAGTGACTTTACTACAGCAGCTTTCTGTGCTGGTGAACATCGACAACATATTACGGTTGAGGACAATGAGGCCAAATAAAGAAATTGCATCTTATATTGCTTCTTTAAAGCATGACCAAGACTCTGTAAGTTGTACGACAATGAAATAAAGAACAAGTGGATAAACTGAACAGTTGACAGATCCAGTTGGGAGCTAAAACATTTCCAACCCATAAATTCATTGAAAATCGGAACTTCAAATCCTGAAATTCTTTACTTTTATCCGGATTTCCACCGTACAAGTGTACGGTGTATAAACATAATGAACAATGTAACAAACCTCGCCGCTAACAATTAATGAAATTTTAATCTTTTTGTTTGCAAAACTGTCAAGATACGTGTTAATTTTGTTAGCTGTTTCTTCAGGGTTCCTCTCGCTAAGTACCTAAACAATGGAATTGAATTCATTCCGGCAAGTACTAAAATAATAATTTTATCAATAGCAAAAAATTCAAGCTAAAAAGGTTTTCGACCAATTAGTTTGATATGATAAGTTGAAATAAAAAAATTCCATCCATTCAATTTATTTACAGTCACATGAAAAGTTTCAAATTTTAAATGGAACTGAATAACAATGCACCAAAATCGGTGTAAATGGATCAATTAGACCACATGAATACCCAATGCTTTGTGCAGTTTCTAACTTATCACCTGTTAATACCCAAATTATGATACCACCTTCAATCAAATGTTCGATAGTTTTCTTCACTCCCTGCAATATATCATTGCTATTATTACAAGATCATCGAAATTATCGATCCACGATATTCCTCGGATCTGAGCAATTTAGGTTTCTAATACTCCATTAAAGACTTTCCCTATTTAATACTTCCTTTTTAGCCAATACCTCTGCAGCTTTTTTGTCAAACATACAGTTAATAATCGCATTCAAAATGCATTTCAACAAAATTATGCAATAAAACAAAAAGAAAAACTAATCAGTAAATGGTTTTTTTTGGTACTTTTCACCTTTTGTAGGCTTAGGAAATTCATTTATAAGTTTCATTTTTGATTGTAATTGCCACTTTTGAGAAAATTTTCACAGTCAAATTTCTTTTTATTGCATAATTTTGTTGAAATACATACCTCCTGTAACTTGTCCTCAATAGCCGACGCACCAAGCAATTCCAGATTCTGCAATTCATGAAGTATTGCAAGTAAAAAGAAAGAAAAAAGAAAAATGAGCGGAAATTATGCATTTAGTCTGAGCAAAATTTTCGATCCTACTTGCACTCTGATTCCGAATAGGATTCAATTGACTGAATCAAATTATCCCGAACTGTTTCATCGTAAAAAATATATTCCACCTTTTCAATTTTTTCTGCTTCCTCTTCAATTAGCTTTTCGCGTCCTTCAAGCGCAATACTTGCCCGATGATAACCAGGCTCCCATTTTTCGTACTCTTCCTCACTAAGGACGCACACTGCCATGCATAATGTACGCAAACCTAAATTTCACATTTTCAGATTGACCAAATTCAATGCTTAAATCAAAGCATGAATGCAAATTTTAATTTACAATCAAAAACCTTTCAAATGAAAATAATTTAAAATCCCAATGTTTGGAAATTCCTGAGAGAAGACGAACCAAGATTAGCAAAATGCACCAAATGTTCCGTTGTTTTGCTAATTGTAGATTTATCAGAATTTGACGTTAATCTTGGAAAAATAACATTATCCTGAAATCCAATCATTATTCGGGAATGAAATCCAAATATATATTTAAAAAAAAAGAAAAAAAAACAGAAACTAAAAGCTAGACTTTTGCGTAATCCAATCTTACCGAGCCTTTAATGTATAACTTCAACTTCTTATCTGGACATCGCACAATAACACCCATTCGTTTACGATTACTTGTAAATTCTAACACATGCAATATATCATACTTCTCTTGTACACCCATCTGTAAAAATTTGAAATAAATTTCAATTCTTTCCCTTCAAACTAATAAATTCTGTTGAATTAATTAAAATTTTTAACAATTATATAGAATAAATTTTCAAGCAAAAAAAAGGCAATATTTACAGCTTCAATATAAACACACTGTGGCGTCCGTGTATGAAAGATAAATTTGAGATCTCTTGCACATTTAACTAATGCTTTCTCATCTGGAAATTTTCCATGAAATTATCTGGAAACTTTTGTTTTTGTTTTCTCTCTCAACTTCTTTTATTTGTTACATTTCAACCAGAAGAAGATTGAATACTCGACCTTTCAATTGTATTCACTGTGGAACACTTTTTTTTGTGGGGCAACGCATTTTATAGGGTCAATGATATACTTTTTCAAATAAAAATAAAAAATTTTTAGTGGCAGCAAAAGTTCGAAAAGATAAACGATTGAACTTTAGCAGAAATCAAATTGCAAAAAAAAAAAGTGAAATATGCTACCTGGTGATGGTGAATGATAAACCACTTTTTGTTTTTCAGAATTTGTAACCTTCTCCGGCACAATCATATGACAGATTGCTAGTAACGTTAGAAACTCACGTATAGCTTTAGCATTATCCTTTTAAAAGCGAATGATTTAAACTTTTAAGATAATGTGAATTTCTAAAACATTAGCTTAAAAAACTTCTAAAATTTGGAATTTTAAAGTATAGCATATAAAACGTATTTCAAATCCTCAAATTTCAGACGAAAAAGTTGAATTCATACTACAAAATCGAACAAAATAAATAGTTTTGAAGAAAAGCATTAGTTGAAATGATAAAGTCGTCATAATTTTCATTTTAGATCAAAAAGACTGAAGATCAATGAATAATAAAAGCCATTTTTTGAGATTATCAATAAAGACCATTGAAAACAACAGACAGCATTATTGATTAAATCCTCGAGAATTCTTTCATCCATAAATTTCGCCATCTTCATGGAGCCATATTTTACACCACCAATGGTACACATTTTAAAGCGCATTTTATTCTGAGTTAATGTACCCGTTTTGTCACTGATAATATAACGAACCTTTAATACATATACATAAGTAACAACGTGAACGTAAGAAAAGTTTAATGATATGGATAGTAAACAAGAAACTATGAATACTAGAGTAAATTAGGAATCTAGCAATTACTTTTGTAAAACGAACTTGTCCAAGTTGTGAATTCAAATTTGAACTTCGTACTTCAGCCTTTGTGTCGGAATGCTCATCGTAAAGATTTAAATCCTGAAAAGAATCATTGCAATAATTTATCTTTCCATTTTTTTTTCTTTTTTGATCTCACATTTATCAGTGAATCTTTATGATAATACAAACTTGTTGAATAAAATAAGCTTGGAATAACTGAATCATTTCAAGTGTAATATTCAAGCTGATCGGTATTAGACCAGAATAAAATATTATTAAACCAATAAGTGTAGGGAAGATATGTGGACGATGAAAATTTTCTAAATGTAATAAAATATATATGATATTTCTTCACTAAAAAGTTTTTTTGTGGTTTTTAGCTTATTCCGAATTCAAATTCAATTATCAGATTATAAATACTAGTTAAATAAATGCAGCAAATATCAAATAATTTATAATATAACACAGTAATTTGCAAACACCATTTTGTTTCGCTTTTCTTCTTCTCATATTTTGAATTTGAATTTTAATTCAAATTCCAGTTCTCATGAAAATAGATTTCATCAATAAATTACCGCGAAAATATGGCATATAATAATACACCTTACTGATACTACTACAACCCATACATGCGTTAAATAACGCCATGAACACTAAAAATCCGAACTGAATCATCATTATGCAATTGGTAATTCGTTCCACCAATGACCTTTAAAATTTGTCGTAAAATTTGGTCATTATTGAAGTTTTAATCTGATGATAAGTGCATATCTTTGGATAAAAGAAACAATAAGTATAACTTTTGAAACAAGCTTGATCAAACATTTCTGTTTAGGTTTTAACCTACCTCTCCTAAGCAGAAATACTTTGACCAAAGTTTATCTGACAACATTTAGATTAATCAATCGTTAAATATTTTTACTTTCATTGAACACTGGTTAAATTTAAAATGACAAGATGTGATGGCAAGATGTATAAAAGTGAAAAAAAGTTTGAAAAAAATCAAACTGTCAACCAAATCGATAAAATTAAGGATATTATCACAATATAAGGAAAGTAAAATTCTCTTCTAACGACAGTTCAATTATCCATTTTGCTAACAGCTGACAAAACGATCAGCAATAAGTTTTCAATAATGATTGAAGTAGCCGATTTAAAATTGTTGCATAAGACGAAAGAAAAATATGAAGAAGGATGAAATATGTTTGTAACGAAAATTCAATCTTGTTTTTTCACTGATCTCTTACCAAGCAATAAATGCTTGTTTTGAGCAGAATCTTCATAATAATTTTGATTCAAACATTGCAGCAAGTTAATGATAAGTGGTAATTAATTATGGCTCTACGTTCATCTTTTATTTCAAAATTTTGTCACTTCTACTTTTGCATAGAAATCTGAGAGATTTGGTGATGGCAATGATTTTGACAGTCTTTTAAACGACACTGAACAAATTTAATATAGTGCCAAACATTTTTAGAAGAGAGGATTAAGATGATTCGGTTTCGATCATCGTATGATCACATCTCATAGTATCACGGGATAAAAATCCCCCTCCCGAGATGTGTTCCTATCTTAAATGAGATTTTTGGAAAAATTCATGCTTAGTCATTATTTTCATCAAAAATCATCCTGCCATAAAATATTTGATAGTCTTAAATTATAGAATTGAAAGTAGGCAAGCTTACACTTTAGTGCGAGTACCACCTGTATTCAATACAAGCTTTGTGCATCGACCGGCGTACACCGCAACACCGTAGACCCAGTCGGTATTTTGCAGTCTGCATCCTCGAGGTAATAGCTGATTTGTTCCTGCAGATTTTATAATCATAAATTAATTCTCGAAAGACTATCCAAGATTAACGTAGATTACTTTCAAAATGCTTTATTGTACGCTAGGTAGAAACCAAAACGAATAGCATGAAACCGGAAAGATCAAACAGTGTGTAAATATTTCAAAAAATTAGTTGCAAAAATCATTTAGAAAGCAATAAGGAAAAAAAATTTCATTTATCTAACTGACTAGTTGTATTATTACAGCAAATGAATCATCATTACTTGGCTAATTAACGACCAGATAACAAACCAAGGGAACAAATCGCTTTATGATGTTCATCACTTTCCTTTCTCAGCATTTCAAACGAATTGTTGATTTTGATAACACCATGAAATTCATACAGTGCTGGACTTGGTGGATCACATTCCACCTTTGATAAGGATGAACATAGTGCCTGCAATGAAAAATGTTTCTAATTTGCTTTTTTGGTGAAAAATTAATTCAAATGCATCCTTAAAAAATAAGTGATACTTAAGTGGCAGTAAGTAAATAAAAATTAAAAATAACTTGAAAGTATTTGAACAGCTTACTTAAAGCTATCAACTAATTCAGCAAAATCGGAATTGTTTTAATTATTCCAATTTTAAAACGAGAACTGAATATGGTGATAAGATGTAGTGATGACAGTGAAGGCGCGACTTCAAGACTTTATAATTCCTTTCATTTTATTAGATCAAATTTCACTAAATCAGCAAAACAAATCAAATTTTCCACTCATAGGAATTCAACATTTACCAAATTCATGAAGAATTCAAAATTGATCCTAAACTTTGATGTAAATGAAACCCACCTTGATTTTATCATCGTCAATTATCCGAGCAGTTTTTGGCAGAGCTTGACGAATTTTAAGATTTGTTTCACCATCCAAATTACTGGTTTCAATATATGCCACACCAGCTGGTTCACTAGATGAAAGTAGTATGATATCTGCTGGGATAAATTCGTTTTTCATAATTTTCACCACTTGGCCAACTTTTAACTGAAACATTATGTAATAATTTGAGAATCAAATTTGAGAATTATTACCTGATACAATTGATTATTTTGCTGAAGATAGAAATCAAAAGAAAAAAAGGATGATAGATGTATTTCTTTCTTCAAGCCAAAGGAAGTTCGAAATTTTCTCATTTTTTTCTAATTTTCTTTTTCTTTGAATTTTTTCCAATTTCTTTTTCTTTTATGCAGTAGTCAATGCTTTTTTTTGCATAATATCATATAAAATGTCCAAAATATTACCAAAAGAGATAATTCAGCAATGAAATTTATAACTGGAAAAATGAACAATTAAAAGCAAAACCTGAGCCCAATGAATCCTTTCCCATTTCCAATTTTTTGCATCTTCTTCTTGCTTACAAATTAGCACAATTTGTCGATTTACACGACGATCGGCGACTAAACGTCCCTTTAATTACCAAAAATTTGAATTAATTATTTAATTAAATACACTCGAAAAAAACAGCAAATAAGACCTATTACATTTATTGTAATAGCAACAATTTAATTGATCAAAAAATAAATAAAAGAAGGAAAGAAAGAAAGAGAGCAAAGGTAAGCAAAAATAATCATTAATTCACTTCATCTAATTAATAACTTGTTATGATAAGGGAATTATAAGATGGACTAATAATCAATGTGATATTTCAGTGATATTAAAGAAAGATAAAAGAAAAGGATGATGCAATTAATCTTACAAAATCTTCGAAAATTTCTTTTGCTGCCGCTGCTAGGATGATAACAACAAGAGGTATAATGGTTGTATTCGTACCATATGGATTTAAACTTGGGAAAAACTAAAATTAAATGGGAAGAAATGCCAAATAGGAAAACATAACGTTGTTATTTCAATTACATTAAAAAAAAAAGAGCTACTACAATAAGGAAAATTACATGCACATTTATTACGAATAGAATAAAAGAAAAGAGGGAAGGGAAGAAAGAAGGCAAAGGCAAACAAAAATAATTATTAATTCATTTTTACCTAATTAATAGCTTATTGTGATAGGGGAATTGTAAGAGGGACTAATAGTCAATGTCCGAGCAAAGGTATATCCAGTAACAAAAAAAAGTCGAACAAGATATATCCAGTAACAAAAAAAAGTCGAACAAGATATATCCAGTAACAAAAAAAAAAAGGAAAATCGATTGTTCAATTTTCGTAATATCACTAAATTGTACTGTCCTGAGGTGATAAAACAATTTTTTTTGAATTGTTTGTTTGTTAAAACAACAATATCATCTGATAAAAGGAAGAATATTTTGTTTGATAGAATTTGAAGTTATCATTTCATATAGATACTTATCAAATGCACAGTTAAATTAGTGAACAAATAAACAAACAATACAATAAATATGTGAACAATTTGATACAAATAACTTACTTTTTACTTTTTTTTTTCAGCCATATAAATAACTGTTTAGTTTTCTTTATATTATTTTATTAATATTAGGAATACTGATAATTGGATAATTTTGGAAAAATAAGCATAGAAATGATAATACAATAAGATGCTAAGCAAATAAGATAAAATCATTTTACCAACCTGTACAATGCAAATCAAAAGGAAGAACCAATTTCCAAATGTTTTAAATTGATAAAATAAAAATAGTGGCAAGAATGTGAATAAATTATACTTTGTTGTTGAAACATAATTGGATGTTTTCCAATCTGCTTGTCCAATAGTTATAGATGAAGATGGAAGGCGTTTTTGTTTTTGATGCCAACACATCTACAAATAATTTCCTTCTTTTTCATACATGTCATTAATTTATGATTTAAATTAATTAACCAAATAATTACGAGCAGCCTTTTTTTTCCCCTCGAAATTTGTATTAATTACACAATTTTAAGTACATATAAATAATTAATACGAAAATATAAGTGATTAAAAAAAAAAATGGGAAAGAAAGGAATTGCATTATTGCATAGCAAAATTCATCCTGTTAACATATTCCATTTCTCATTAGTCACTTTTAATTAATTAATAAAATTTTTAAAATGTCAAATTCATTCCCAGAAATAATTGATTTAAAGTTATCTCAAACAATCAATTCCAATGATAAACCTTTGATGCGAGTGAAATGGAATACTGAATGTTTATGCAACAAATTAACTACTTTTATGTTAAATAAAATGCAGTCCATTTGCATATTAAAATTGTAAATTTATACTTCATCCCTAAAATCCAAAATATTTGTTGCAATTCATTTTAATTTTAAAAATTCCTCGAAAATGATTCATTCATTCCATTCATTCATTCATTCCATTCATTCATTCATTCCATTCATTCCATTCATTCTATTCATTCATTCATGTGTTCTAGAGCATAGAATGTGAAACAGGACTATGTTGATCAAACTTATCGATTGGTCAAATTGATTAATCAATAAATTTGATTTGGAAATGAATAATTTTGCAGATTTATCATTTCACTGAGAAATGATTAAAACTGACAAAATGATGCTAACGATGACTAATTGATTTAAATTAGTTGGCTGATTGATTAAGTAAGAAACAGAAACAAATGTAATTATTTCAGGAAATCATTTTAGCTTAAAGCACAATATCCTGACTAATTAGTCATAACGGTAATTTCTTTTACTTTGGTCTATCCTTCATTTGGAATCCGGTTTACTCGTTTAAATTTATTTATAAATGGTTTACATCAAGTATTTCCATTCCAATATTACATATTTCCTGTTTCAGATTTCATTCCTTAGCTATTTCCGGAATGAATTAAAAATTAACTTGTTAAACAGGTCGAACATACCAGAAGGCATGTTATCACTCTAACATTTATCATTATCAGTAAGATTTGTGTTTTAAAAAAATTGTTAAATATTTCAAAAAATATTCCTTAAACTAGCATTTCTTTTTTTTGGTCATACTTTTAGAAAGGTGATATGATTAAATAAAAGACTAACTGTACTAAATTTAAGTTGAATTAAATTAAATCTAATTTAATTCGATCACTTTTTTTAATAAATTAAATTAAATTGAATTAAGTCAGATCAAATTAAATTGAATTAAATCATACCAGAAGTATTATCATAACATTTGACATTTCAAGTGTAAACAGTGCTGCAACAGCGAGAAACTCTCATTCCTTTTGTAAGCGTTTCGCGGCGCGAATTATGAATAACATTTTTCATTTCCGGTTTTCATCTTTCTTTTTCCTTCCCGGTTTTCATTTTTTCCTTCTCTCCCGTTTCCGGTTTTCACTTCTTCCTTTTTTCCTCTTCCCTCTATTTTCACTCTTTCTCCTGTTATATTATTATACGGCAAGGTATAGGCTAGTTAGGATCAGTTCTCCTCGTCACGTCACTTTTACGCGTAAACTATCGAGCATAATCTCTCTCTCTCTCAATTCCTTTCTCTTTCTCAATCTCTCTCTTTCTATGCTGTGTTATCGACATATTTCTGTTTTTTTTTCATCCTGTTCTATTAGTGTACGCTTAAATAAATACACATTAGTTAGGTTTCCGTCACATCAACCGACTAATAATGCTTTACCCAATAGACTTATCATAATCTTTCTCTCTCCCTTGTGTTATCATATGTCTAGATACACGTTAGTTGGCTTCTGTCTGTCAATCAGTCGTATAAGTAAACTATTGAATTGATCATATTATCACTTATTAATTATGATCATATCAGTTGTTATGGATGAAAGCGTAATAGTGCTAAGTGGGGATGAAGATGAGGATGGAATCGGATTCAAACCAACTCAATCGAATGTACTAAATGACGGTTGGTATTGTTTTAATTATTTGCAGTTTTCATTCATTTTCATTTATAAAAAAAACGAAATATGAACTGAATTTTTGTCTCATTGGTATGAATAAAAATGAGAATATCTCCTGGCTGGTGAAGTTTTCTCTGTTCTTAAAGACTAGCTATGTCAAATTTTGGCTCATTTATATCATGCCATATCTCTTTCAGTATTTATCATGGATTTCTGTATGTTTTGGCCATTGCATTGTATGTTGCTCGAATTATTTACTTTATATTTGGGCTCTTTTTTATGTATGTAAGGGCTTCCAAATGGTACTGAGTGTTCATTTCACCACGTATCCCACATCTTTTTTTCATTTCTCAACCACTCATATTCATTATTTAAAGCAGTGATTTTCAATCTCCTTAGCTACTCGTACCCTTGCTTTCTTCTGAATATCTTTTTTTCTTTAGATAATGACATGAAAATGACACGCATTCAAGATGAGAACGATGCTGATGGGGAGCCGGTGCAATCCAGTTCGAGATTTCTTGATGATGACATTCACAGCCAAGCATTCTTAGAATTGAATGATGCTGCATTTTTCGATTTGGCTTCTTCAGACGATGGATCTAATGGTTCTCATGAAAAACCCCAATATGAATTAGATGAAATACCTGAAGGCGGAGATTTCGCAAACTGGTATACCCATGAATCTTTCTCGCAGCCCGTACAATCGTTGTCGATACTCAAAGAAACTCAGCTAATCACTAATGAACTCGTAACATCTTCAACTTCTGGTAAGAAAGCAGCTTCGATATGCATAGCGCGCTCAGTTTCAGATGGTCCATGTATGGACAAAAAGAGAAGAAAAAGAACAAAAGATGAAGTAAACGCTGAGCAGGTTACATTTTCCTAATTTTCAATCATTATCACACCTTATAGTTATTTCTAATCATAATTAATCGTTTAGTGACCGTTAGGAGGATATGCTTATTCAAATTTGACTTTTTTTTCATAGTAAATCATGTTTTAAGCTACATTTTTCACTTTTATTTTTAAAATATCTCACAGTAATATGAAATCATAGCTACAAATGAAGTTACAAAAGCCTTACAAAACTTCCAAACTAAAAGTTAGCCTATTCGCTTCTTTAGAGATATTTTATTGAAAGCTGATAATCATTCTGATATATCTTTTATAGAGTTTTGGATGTGAAACTCATTGTGTTGTATGTGCTCATTTGCTTTAAATTAAATAATTTAGGCTGCAAAAAAAGAAGCTAGAGAAAGGAAGAAACAAGAAAGGATAGAAAGGAAGGTTAGTTTATCTTTGGCTCTACGAACAGGTATCAAAATAATCCATACTTTCCTCAGATTTGATATTTGTTGTAATGTATTCATGACTTATCACAGTCCAAATAGATATACCGCACTTTCGTGCACTATAGCAAATTCTCTTCCATGTTTAAAGTGGCTAATAAGCTAAAAGGAATAGCTACTGCTAAAAAGGGAAAGTAATCTTCGGTAAGTTGAATCAATTATTTTTAGAAACTTTACAATCCGATGTGGAAGTATATCTTTTGCTTTTCAGAAGCAAACTGAGCTTACGAAGCAGCTGACTAGATTTGAACGAGAACTATCTGCAGCGAAAAAATCGAAATGTGAACAGAATCTGTTTTGTGTTATCAGTCTAGATTTAATTGCTGCAGTAGGTATGCATGTTCATCAACTGGCAACACTGAACGGAAATATTTTAGTTAGATGATATTCGATTTCATTCTTATTTCGTTTTGCTACAGTATATTATATTGCTGTAAGAAGAGTTGTCGTATATTATCTTGTCAGACGCAGGTTACCCAGTCAAGGAAGAAAAGTAGAAATTCATAACAAGTTAGACAGTTCAATATATACTCTCTTCGATAATTTTCAGTCTTACCATTTACCAATTTTCTGATAAAATTTGCTTTGGAACATTTTGATGAAAAAAATATTTTTATTATGATTACAGTTGTGGTAATTGAGATCATGTTATCCATATAACCACTACTATCAAGGATTTTGAAATAGTTCCCTCCGTAATTTTTCAATATTGCAGATAATTTAGACGAACTGATTACGGAAGTATTCACAGATCGCGGCATCAGTGATCAGCTTCTCTTCGATGGCATTGGGTTGACAGTTTGTTGGAAAAGAAGAGTTTTGGGGGGAGAAGTAGAAAATAACGAATTTATTCGTAGCGAGAAGTTGGTTCGTTTTTGCCTTATTCAATTTGAATTTCATTTACCCTATTCAGATCGATTTGTTTCTCACTTCTTGGTGAAGACTAACTGACATTATCTCCAGTTGTTTCCAATAGATTATTAAAAACGTTCAGCGACGATGTCAAACAGGGAAAAACATATCTTTGCATGATTCTTGCAGTTAAGGTACATTTTCATATGCCATGGATAATCAGGATTGTAAACAACAGATAGATTAAAATAATTTAATTGGCTCAATAGTTGACATCGTAAACCTACCTCTGGGGAGATTGATGTCCTGCCGTACCAAACATTCAAACTATGCATCACCGAAAAACACAAAAATCAGGCACTAATGGTACGAAGCGGTTCTCCTTTTAATTTAATGTTCGTGTTTTATCGTATTTGCCATTTCGGAAGCTGGAGATTTCGTTATGCTTGTCACTAGGACACGGACCTTGCTCTGATTACGTTAAGTACAATTTTTATCTCTAGTATTTAATCATTTGCAAGAAATGTTGCAGATGTACGAGAAATTTTGCATTTTGTCAATGGATGCGCAGCGCTATGGGCAATTCAAATCAGCTGAAGAAATTGCAGGATTCATTGAAAAGTGCCTTAAAAAGTATCCATTTCCATCGCCACAACTTACCCTTGTTGTTCATGGCTTGTTAAAATTACGAAAAGAAAAAGTAAGTATCCGTAATCGCAACTGAAACTTGTTGGATTGAAATGACAGAATTCGGAAAATTTTACTAGTTCAACTAGTTATGGAGCCCTCATCTAATACAGAATGATTAGGCAAATTATATGAAAATATATTAACAGGTAAAAACTGGTCTTGAATATATCAAAGCTAACACATTCTTCAGGTGGCAGACTTTGTTTTGGAGATCTTTGAACGTTTTCGAGCTCAAACTCGCTTTGTTGTAACCACAAAAGAATATGCTATGCTTATTGCTCATATGCATAGATCCATTGCGCGAAACGAAAGCCGACTGGAAGAACAAGTTCTGCCGATTGTAAATATCGAAAAAGGTATTACGGAAGTAAGATTTGATCTAGTATTAACTTCATTTCTAATTATCCTACTGTTTATTTTCATCACAGGCACCATACTGTGGGCAATTTTGACTTTCCGTTTCTTACCAAAGTTGCTAATATTCACTAAAATCCTTTATTATGATGGTTTTTAGGTGAACTGCATTTGAATAGCCTATTTTTATTTCTACATACACGGCCGATCTTCCAGAGATCTTCCTCTCTGTAAATTTCAGAATTCTTAAACTTTTGAGCGCTCTGTGAGTGAAGGAGCAGTAAGGCTACCAACAAAAAAAAAAAAAATTGAGTCGATTAGGCTTAAAATTGAAATTCATTTTCCCAATCAGGTTTGTAATTTGCAGGGTGATGATTCAGCCATTATATCCGATTGGTGGATGAAAATGTTGAGCCAAATGCATCGTATGGGAACCGATGCACAACGGGCAATTGTAAACATGTTCCCAAACCCACATGCTCTTTCGAAGTTGTAAGTTTGTTTATTGCAAAACTTATTAATTGCACCAGTAAGCTCCACTATCTAATACAGAAACTTCAGCGAGAAATTTTTCAGATTTCATAACATCCAGAGCAATCTATGCAAGAAATACATGGAACTTCCTAGTAAATGAGACTTTTATAGATATAACTTGGGATTTGGTCCAAAATCACCTGAACTCCTAAAACTTACCCAAGATTTACAGATTAAAAACGATGCCAATGAAAGAAGGGATGAAATTGTTAGCTGATACGAAAACGGAACATGGTAAAAGAGTTGGACCAGTGCTAGCGCGTAAAATCTACTTGATGCTTACAAGTGTCAATGGTACCGAAATCATCGATGAAAATTGAACATGTTATTTCGAAGATTCCGAAAAAATTAAGATTTTTTCTTATGAAAGCAAACATGGTTTAGGACAAGTGATATAACTTTGACAACAGGCACGATGAAAACATGAACAATTAAGGTTCTGAAAAATAGTTAGAAGGGAATACCGGCTAACGGGTATAAACTGAGAAACTGAAGCACAAGATCCAGAATATGTATCAGGATTTCATGTAATAAGCTTCATGACTTGAGTGTTCCCACTGAACTTTCATTGGTTCGGTAACTTAAGACACCACCACAAACTTTTTCAAGTCCCTGCATCCTAAGTATCTCCACGGAAATTTAAAATCATTGGTCATTCGGGATTATGTTATAGGGCACAATTTACGAAACTTTGTGCTTCTTGAAATAAATTTAGAAAAAAATTAGAGGGAAATATTAACAGCAAATACAACACAAATAGCAGTAAGTAGTATAACAGCAGAGTTCCAACAAGAAAACATCAGTTTATAGACATTAAGTACTAACAGTGAGGATTTGACCCTCTTTATTATGGTTATAAAAACAAAGTTCAAATAAATCATAACGAAACCTTTAATTTACATAATGTCCGACCTTCGGGCATTCTCCGTTCTTTACCTAATCCCAAACGTCCTTCGGGTGATGAATAATCCGAACTGGTTGCGATTCCACTGGCATCAGTACTAAAATCTTGCAAATAGTCAAATTCTGCCAAAGCACTTATTTCTTTACGACCAAAACGACGGAAAGTTGCTTGCCGTACAGCTCGCCGTGGAGGTACAAAGCGAACATTGTCACCACGACGTCTTAGCTGCTTCTCTAGCAGTTCAATGGTTGTTTCTTCATCTGACGAAAAACTAGTACCATCCTAGAAAAAAATGGACAGAAACGAATGATTTAGTGGAAATCGTGGATTAAGCTCACAATCTGGAATTCTCATGAATTTAAGGAATTACATATCTGCTGAATTCGAAAACAATCTTAATCTTAAATCCTCGTATCATTCGTACTTTTCAATGATCCATTCAAGTTTTACAAAAAGTCACTAACCAAGTTTTCGGAGAGTAATTCTCCACGAGTAGGTAAATGGGTTAGTTGCAGTAAACATTCCTGTGAGCCGCTTTCCATTTCAGTTGTTGAAACCATCGATGGTAATTCGCTATCCGAATACGAACGCCTCAAGGGACTATGAGGCGACTTCACACATGATGTTTCGGCCATCTGCACCGGAAGTACATTAACACCCTATAAAATAAGGCTAACGAAATTAAGAGTCTTTCATGTTCATTGTCTTCTTCCTCTCTCATCGCCTGTTATTTCATTGATAATTTGTAAAATTTAACGGATAAGAAACTAGGCAATATTGTAAATTTGGTAAAAAAGGAACTGTTGAATATTTCGAACTAAATTCAAACAACTCATTGTTCACTTCAATCTAACATTAAGTATCTGGTTGGACAACGCATTCGAGTTAAAGTCCAAAAAAACTGCAGGAAAATGTACCTTTACAGACGGTGAAAAAGTTCTTGGCGATGGTGCAATTGCCGGTGTACTACATCTTTTGTTCCGGAAACTCTTCACTTCATCCGGTGCATCACTAATATTTGAAGTAAATGAATCGTCGTAAAGATTTGCATTCGAGTGTGTGAGCGCACAGAGTGCTTCGCCAGCGCCAACAATCGTTGAACCACATGATGGACAACTAACATTGCCCATACGTTCTACTTCACGACACTGGTTATTCCTAAGTTGATTTTGCAGACCAATCTGGAGGAAATCAATTCTATCACAGGAACTAGCAAATCTCCAGAAATATAATAAAGTATTGTAGAAATCTTGAATCTACAATAAAATATATGAATTATCGACCTAGCAGTCAACAGTTCCTAGCAATCAGGATTCAAAAAAAAAACCTAACTAAACACAAAGAAAAAATGATATTCCTTTTTGAGAAGAGAAGGATTATTGTCTCCAATCGTCTCCTAATCATGATTAATGAACTGTAAAGATTTTCCATTAAAATATGGCGAAAACTTTTCTTGAAAAAAATATTTCTCACAATAATAATGTCTGATTCATGCAATTGTTTCCTCAAACTTGAATTCTTTCGTCTTTCTTGATCAATTCCTCGTTGCATATGCACAACAGCTCGACTAGCTTTCTCCAGGTAACGCCTCATATGATCTTTCTCTTTCTGAAAAAATAAGTTCATCTGCGTTCAGCAATTTCTCTTTTTTCTTTTTGCACAATACTTTATCAGTTAATGATATTTAATTCCGTCAAGTAAATTTAACAACTGTCAGCAAGTCCTACTATTCAACTAATGCCTAGCGAAAGGTTATAATTTGATCAACTCAATTATCGTACTTGTACAGCAATAATTTGTCCTTTGAAATAATGTCGTTCTTCCTTCAAACGTTTTCTTAATCTGCGTATTTCAAATTCGTATTTCTGAATCTAAAAAGCGAAATTTTATTTAAGATCAACATAGAATTACTTGAAAAGTCCATAAAAACTCATTTTCTTCAAAATTTAACGAAAATTATTAAATCCCCTAAATATCATTGCCTCCGAGCGTTGAAAAATCATCGGATATAATAGATTTTTAAAACGGAAAAATATTTCCTTATTCCTCACTTTCAGTTAAAATTAGCAAACCTCGGCTTTAAGTTCAGTGTCAGCTTTGGATTCCAAGAACGCTAGAGGAGCACTTTGTGAGCTATCTGTTGGACTAGGATCAGCACTACCATATTCAGATGTTTTTATTTCAGCATCCAGATTTTTAACATCAGCTGCTATCCCAGGATTTCTGAAATTACCGTGACGATGTTGACATAAATGAGGAATAAAAGTTAACTGTAGTGCATCTACTCACAATACTTAGGTAAGCATGACTAATGCACTTAACTCTATTACAGCACAATATATTTAATAGAGTATCTATATTAACGAATAAATTAACGAAGTAGGCAGATAGGAGATAATCTAACATGGAAGTATACAAACAAATACAACAAAAATGGATGAGACGAACTTGCTTTCAACCGAGTCGCATTTTTTGTTGTTAGATGATTTAATCGGGAAAATGGAAACTCCTCCAGGGCATGACCTTGTTTGTTTGCCTTTTTTTGGTGCCGTAATAACAGAATATGGCGCTGATGGTCGAGTCCATGATGCACCGCTTATATAGATAGCTTCCTTATCGGATCGCCAAGATGGAATTGGTGAACAACATCGCAACGAATGACGCGAAGAATCCTTACGATTCTACAATGAAAAAAATAAAGTGCCGCAATAAATAGTTATTTAGAAAGTATTTGTTTGACAAATATAACAAACAAGAGTACTAAATTTGTTTGACAAATACAGAAATCTTATTTATTTGACAAGGCGAACATATCTTTATTTGAAGTGCAGATAGATCAGAAGAAACGTATTTGTCCAGTAAACATATATATATATATATATATATATATATATATATATAAAGTTTTCAAGTTTTCTTATCAGATTTCCAGTCTGTTAGCAAAATGCCAATTAATATGCCATAAAATCCAATTTAAAAAAACTTCCTAAAAATCATGTCCACGTGGATGGATTACCCTGGTTGCTTAATCCCAATGAATTCAAATTTTGCTTAAATTCAAACATTTAGTATAGCATGGAAGATGTTCTGGACCGTTAGCTCTTGAATTGTAATGTTTTGTTTCTGACTCAGACACAGAAGTTAATCAGGTATTTTTCATAGCAAAAAAAGATAGAAAGTGAATATAAAAGGTTAAATGAGGAGAAGGTTATTATTAACAATTCTATATGTTTCTCTCATATCGCTCATTAAACACTCCGAATCGGTTGTCTCATTATTCGAATGTTAGAATCTTAAACTAGGATCAAACTCATAAACTTACAAGATCATTACAATCTTTGTGCTTTTTGAAGCGAAATATTTTAATCAATGACGATGCCATCTCATCTCGTATCTTCCATCCAACAAAAAAACTTTTTCGTATAACCTGAAATGAAATATTTCAATAGACAGTCAGATAGAAAATTGACAATATGTTACAGAATATTCGATTTTTCCGGTATAAACGGAAAAGATTGACTACTACATATCATTCAGTAGACGTGACTTCAACAACACTTCGAGACGTATCCTTATTGGGGTAACATAAATGGAGTAGGAATTCTCATCTTTACGAATTTTTAATGCGATTCGAAAGGTATCAAAATACGAATCATCAAATACGAATTATGTGACACGATGAGTTTCATCAAACCTTTCCGGTATCATGGTACAATTTTATAATTAATCAGGATTTCTCAGTACTGTAACACGCTACAAAAAAAAAAAACAAAAAACCATAACTAAAA